ACATGAGCTTTTGAGTCGGACTTAAATTGTTAATGTCGGCTGTGTTTCGCCATTCCCGCAGGGCCATTTGAAGATCTTTGCTTTCTCGCTTAGCCTTCTTAACCAGATTTTTGGCGATCTTAACGTCTGAATCTGCTTTTCCATTGCTCTAACTGTGGCGTGGCGAACTAGTAGTGTGCTGAAATTCCATTCTCATCTGAAAGCGGCGAAGTGATCGCTTGAATATTGGGGACCATTGTCTGTAATCATGTTTGCAATACCATGCCGGGCAAAGTGTGACTTTGTTGCCTTGATCACAGCCTGTGTAGTTGCATCTTTCAACAGATCTACTTCAACGGAATCACTGTAATAGTCAACAGTCACTAGGAAGGTCTCATTTCCATAGGTGAAGAGATCCTGACCCCTGATCCTGACCAACCTTTGACCATGGGGTATCTGGAATCTTATGCGTCATTAACGGTTCCTTCTGTTGTCTGGCTAGAAAGTCATTGCAAACTTCACAGTTTTGATTTGGCCTGCCATACTTGGCCAAAATAACTCATCACGTGCTCGACGTACACAGGTATCTGGTCCTAAGTGACTAGAATCGACTCTGGCAATCATTTGAGGTCTCATTGGAATGGGAACAATGACCTTGAATCCTTTGTACAATACTCCTTCTTGTACTGTTAACTCTTCTCTGTAATTCCAATTTACTCGAATGGAAGGTGGAACATCTATTTTTGGAGACTGGCCATCCTGTCGTAACAGTGTTCATTAGAGTTTGCCAATCAAATCAAAGTTGAAAGAAGAGATTGATGAAATGGGAAAGCAAGGCATCATTGTCAAGGAAACTCAGCCAACAGAATGGATCAGTAGTCTTGTAGCTGTGCAGAAGCCAGGGAAACTGAGGGTGTGCTTTGATCCGCTTGATTCGAATAGAGCCATAAAGAGGCCAAAGTATTAGATGCCGACAGTGGACGAGTGCTACCAAAGCTGTCAAAAGCAAAAGTATTTACAGTATTAGATGCCAAAGATGGTTTCCATCAAGTTAAGCTTGACAATAAAAGTTCCCTCCTTACAACGTTCTGGACCCCTTTTGGGAGATATCGTTACCTTCGTATTCCACAAGATATCAGCAGCGCCCCAGAAGAATATCAACGCCGACAGAATGAAGCACTCGGGGCCTCGATGGAGTAGAAGTAATTGCAGATGACATCTTATGTTAGGGCAGCGGAGAATCTATGGACGAAGCTTTAGCAGACCACGATCGCATTTTAGTGAACTTGCTAAATCGTGCACGCAGTATTAATCCGAAATTTAGCAAGAACAAGTTGAGGTTGAAGTTAGACCAAGTAACTGACATGGGACAGTTGTTCACGTCAGAAGGACTAAAGCCTGATCCCATGAAAGTTGAACCAATTGCGAGCATCCCTCGACCAGATCATAAGAGAGCAGTCCAACGTCTTCTGGGATGTGTTAATTATTTGTCCAGGTTCATGCCACAGCTCTCAAAAGTGTCTGAGCCACTACGAAAAGAATGTCATGTTCACTTGGGACAGCTTACAGGAGGAAACTTTCCAAGCATTCAAAAGCATGATCAGCTCTGCGCCCCTGTTGAAGTATCATGATGTGGCCAATGAAACCACTAACCAATGTGACGCCTCAGAGTCCGGTTTAGGAGCAACTCTGCTCCAAGAAGGAGAGTCGTTTGCATTTGCATCACGGTCGTTGAGCAATGTTGAACGCCAGTATGCTCAAATAGAAAAGGAATGCTTGGCGATTGTTTTTGCTTGCAGTCGTTTTAATCAGTACCTACACGGAAGAGAACTTACAACTGTGGAAACAGACCACAAGCCATTGGTGCCCATTTTCCAGAAGTCTATTCATTCAGCGCCTAAAAGGCTACAGAGAATGCTCCTGCGTCTGCAAAGGTACAATGTAAATGTGACGTATCTTCCTGGTTCCCAAATGTAAATAGCAGACATGCTCAGCAGAGCTTACGTCCAAGTTGGCCGCACCCAGTGTAAGAGAACACCAGAGTACCAAATCTTCCACCTCAAGCAAGAACAGCCGCTGTTTGAAGAAATTGTTAGCATCAATCAAGTTGATTACATGCACTTATCTGAGGGTACCCATCAGCAGATTAAACAATGCACTCTTGCAGACGCCACTCTGAGCTTAATGGCTGGATCTACTTCAACGTGATATTGTACGGGCAGGCAGCCAAGTCCTGTGAACACATCTTCATATTCCTTCAAAAGTTCCTCCATAGTGAGGGGTTCATAATGCTTGCTATTTAATGAGTGAACAGACGCTTCTGTTCCTAGGGATATTCAACCTTGGTCAATGCATCTTCTACCATCTATGATTGGCCACGGTGCATTCTCCAGGATGTCACATTTTATCTTGCATTTAGGGCCACTGTTTCGGCTGACTGAAAATGTGTACCAACCAAGTGGATTGACAACACTACCATCATAAAGCCTTATCTTGCCTCCAGGTGGATCCAACTGGACTTCGCCAAGGTTAATTATACAAATCTGTATAGGACATAGCACTGCACGTCGCTCCAGTATCCAGCTGAGTTGTAACTGTAGGGCTGTACTCAGTGTGAACGGTGAAGGGTACCATTACGGAAGATCTGGTTTCATTGCTACTGACAACTCCAACGCGCTCTACAATAAAAATAGAATCGTCTGATTCATCACTATCCTCTGCAAATCTCTGACGCGCTCCACTTGTTTGATGAACTTTATTGTCTGGTTTACTTGGGGACTGCCTCTTTACGTGACACTTCACAGCAAAGTGACCTTGTTTACCACATTTATAACAGGTTTTACCAGACGCAGGACAGTTGGCTCTATCATACGGATCTCCGGTGCCACAGAACTTGCATAGACCTGATGGTTTTTCTTTTCCAGACTTGTTACAATGTTAAGTTTCCATTGCTACTACCACTATTTCGTTTCCTTTTCCCTTTTGCTGAATGATGCTTTTCTGCTGCTTGAACAGTGTTTGGAGAATCAACAGTGTCTGTAAACTGCTCTTTGTGAATCCTGGATAACTCGCTGGCTCGAAGATCTCCAATACACCTGGCTAACCCTGGCACAGGGCGTTCTCGAAGTAGGCGGTCACGGATGGAAGAGTCTCTAGTGCCAATGACTAATCTGTCACGAATTAAGCTCTCACAAAGATTCTCAAATTCACATGACTCAGCAAGCTGGCGCAATCTCACTATAAACTGATCAATGCTTTTTTTTTCAGCTTGATTGGCAAAATCAAATTTTACTCTTTCAAACAACAAATGTTTCTGAGGCATAAAATGGTCGCTTAAGACAGAAAGAATCTTCCCTGGTTCTTTCTTGTCAGATGCAGGTAGAGTAGTAAGGCTATTCATTACTTTCACACAGTCCATTCCCATAACACTGCATAAAGCCCCAGCCTGTACTTCTTTAGGTTTCTTGTTAAGTTCAGTGGCAGTGACATAATAACGCCAAGCTTCTGTAAACATTTTCCAATTTGTTGATACATCTTCCTTTACGTTCATGGGTGCTGGCGGTGGTATTTGATAAAATGGCATGTTGAAGAAAACGAATAATCACAGTTCTGATGCTTTCTAGTTTCTTTCAGCTAAATAATATTGCGACGTCTCACCACGTACACGACTCACGAACGAGAAAATAATACCACAACAGCAACGACGGCTTCTCTGAAACGTTTCCCTGCTTCTTCTACTGCTTTAGAATTCTTTTAACTACGATTTTACCTTCTGACACCATGTTATTCTGCCTTTAACTGAGGAATTGACTGAGACAACTTCAATAAAACGAAGCCATGCTTTCTCTACTTTAATCACAAGGACTCCTGGTAAGACTCCAAAAACTACTTCATGTAACAGTAAAGAACATGATTTGGAGATAAAATGTATTCCAAACAACATGGAAAAATATATGGCATTTATGCTTGGTAAACATCTTGTATTTCTTGGTAGTTTTCAGTTTAAGGCAAGTAGTGTAGAGGGATTAGCTGCTAATCTTCCAGAGGATGCTTTCAAATATACATATATAATAGGTTACGTATGGTTGATGGAAGAAAACAAGTAACTACATAAGTATCCCTACAAGCCTGTTTCGTGGTTGCCCACTCATCAGGGGATTTTAATGAGAATAACTTTACCATTACTTATATACTAGACTGATTTACATAATTTATTCAGTGCGAGGTTCCACCGCTGCCGCCGACTCCGCCCCCACCATCATCAACAACAACAACAAGAAATGCAACTGCCGACAAAAGAACTCATGCCCGCTCAACGGGAACTGCCTTCAGCCTGCTGTCATCTACCAAGCTACTGTCACACGAAAAGACACCAAGACGACAGAAACGTACATCGGGCTTACTGCGAACGACTTCAAAACAAGATACAGCAACCACATGTCATCATTCCGTCACGCGAAGAACAGAAACTCCACTGAACTCAGCAAACACGTCTGGACTCTTAAAGAAAACAACATCAACTACTCTATCGCCTGGCGCATTCTATCTTCACACCTGCCGTACAACAGCTCAAGCAAACGATGCAACTTATGTCTTAAAGAAAAATTCCTTATCATCTGCCGACCTGAACTCTCTACACTTAAAGTGCTACTACGATCAAATTTGGGAATTTGTTTTTGATTACATATTTCGAAAATGTATGTAAAAGTGACTTACCGTGCCAAGTTTGGAGTCCAAATATGATCTGGAAGTTTGTTTATTTGCACGGCAATTTTCGTAAATGTCTTGCCGCCATTACTCGATTCAAAAAATGACCGGGAGTAGTATTTGAAGGAGTTGGGGCGAGATGTGACGTAGAAAAATCAACGCGACAAAACAAGGTAAACAAACATGGCTAATTTCGCGTGCAGGACGAGATATTTTGGAAGCTTTTGGAGGTTCTTTCTTCGCTTTTTTGACTTAAAGCGAAAGTATGCCTGGTAGACGTTGTGTTGTTCAGGACTGTGGAAACGTAAAGAACGATGAATTCTCCTGATTCGAGCAGCGTTCGATTAAAGTGGAAAAGGTTCGTGTCCATTCATCGGAAGGATTTCAACACAGTGGGAAAATTTGCTGTGTGCTCGGAGCATTTTACAAGGGATTGTTATACGCTTGCTTTTCCGATGAAAGGCATGAAAAGGAATTGGAAGAAGGGGACGTTTCCAACCATTTGGAAAAAATCCTCTCAAACACTATCAAAGCGGAGTCGACGATCGGTGAGTGAAATTACAATGTATTTGCGCTGTGCTTATCACTATTATATTTATTTCCCCATTTACCTGTGACATGATTTTTTCTGGCATCGTTGTTCAATATGAATGCTCTGACTATTTGGACTTCCCATATTGTTGCATGTGTTTTCATACTTTTCTGCTTTCTTCTTATAGTTATAGTAAAACGGGAGTTTGCGCTGAGTGGACGTGAAGTCAATTCCCCAATTCCCAGACCTTTCCACTCAAGCGTAAAATTTAGAAAAAGTGAAGCTACATAGAAATCCGGCTCTCTATTTTTTGAGAGATTATCTTGCTGTTACTTTGAGATTTGACAGTACTCCAAACTTCCCTCCAAGAAATCTTACAGCAAATTAGGAGTTACACGCGAGTCTTTTAAAACGACCAAAAATGGACTTAGTCTGATTTCTACATTCTATAAGTTCAGTTACTGTTTGCGGTTTTTTTTTCGTTTGTATTTTAATTCTATTTTCACTGTCTGCAAATGATGCGTACATTTTAAGGCAAAGATGCAGTTAAACCTTGCTTCCAGTTCTACTTTTGAAAACATCGACATAAAGCTCAAATTTAAACGTGTTTTGAAGGGGAGATATAAAAAATGGTCGTACCTATTTTCATTTTTAGCTGCTAAATGAAATTCTGGCTGGTCAAACTGCTAATAAGGATACAGAGGAAGAAGACAATCCTGAAGAAGAGGTGATCTCTTTGAAAGGAAGTTCTGCACCTGAGGAGAGTGCTGACACTATGGGGGCTCCCAATCTCAACCCTGAGGAGTCTCTAGAAGTCGAGGGTGTTCTGAACACAAGTCAGGGTTCTTTGCTTGAGGTAAAAAAGGAGGACTGCATCCCTGAGACTGAGACGGGTGAGATAAGTGTTGATGCTGAGATGGCTTCAGAGGTCCTAGGTACTCCTGGTGATAAGACAACTCTCGAGAGCCAAGGGTTTTCTGGCACTGATGATGTTACTGAGACCATGCAGATCCTGGAGGCTCAGGGAATCGAAAAAGTGCAGGATATGGATAAGTTATGAGGGGAGGAAGAATCATTAGCGATTCCTGAACTTGAACAGGTTTCTATGGTAGGCGCATAACTCTAATTAATGTTTATTTGCATCTTTGTATTATCATAACAATGGAAAACTACATGTGCAGTTATTTTACAACTATACAATACTAAAACACAAAAATTCTAAAGTCTTGTTATTACAGCCTGTATTAATGTTGAAAGTTTGTTTTTTGTAGGATACTCCAACTGGACATGCTGGGAACTACACAACATGCAAAACCCTGAGGAGTGAGGTGACTCAGTTAAGGGGCAAAGTCACAAGACTGAAGAGTAAGTTAATCTCCAATCAAGATCAATGGGTTGAAACCTTTAAGAGCATACAAGAGCTGAAGCAGTTGCCGATGGTGAATGCTGGTGAGTCAACAATAATTATTGATGTTGATGAGTCATACAGGCATAACTGCCTATCTTTATATTTTTGTTACATTTTATCAATGTTTGATTATTTAATAATAATTAAAATTTTAATGGTAATAGAATTTTTTTAATTCCATTTGTTTAAGCTATTCAAACTGATCCATGGCCAGTAACAAATGAGACAGAGTTAGGGCTATAGGATGAATCAGAAGATGAGCAGGAAATGCAGGACGACGCGTATGAGGAGTTTGAGTGTGATGAAGACCCTACATGGAGTCCTGAAGGAATCGAAGATGAACATAAAAAACTAAAGAAGATGATGACTCGGTGAAGACTCATCAGAACCCAAGGTACAAAGATGCAAAATTTATTGCATTTTAACATCTTAGCTCTAAGTATCCTCTGGGAAGTGATTTAGGCCTAAAACTAACTTCCATTATGAGAGGATCTATTTAGAAACAAGAGTACATGAAATTTGTTTTTTAATTTACTTAGATAAGAATTGCAAAAAAAAAAAAAAAAAAAAGAAGAGGCATAGCCAGCCCACAGACTGGAAGTCCCAGGCCTAAAAATGTTTGGTTTGTCCACTCAACCACTTGTAATAAATTATGCATCGTTGGGGTGGGCTAGATAGCTTAAGGGCTCAAAGTTGTCATGTGTGCAATCAACAGAATTATTATAAAAAAGCATTTTTCAGGATGTATGTGAGTAAAATCCCAACCCACGATTAGCCAGGTTTACAACAAGTTGAAAAACTGGCAACACCCTGAGAAAAACAATAAAAATGATAATCATTTTTTTTATTGTTATTTTATTATTTCAGATGCTATGATTAAATGAGTATTTCCTTTCAATCATTTTTTACAGGTTGGATCTACAAGGAAAAAACATTCGAGAGGAACCGAAGGGAATTGTTTTCCTTTCCAAACTTCTTCTTTTGTTTCAGTTCTGCCACTTGTGCTTCTTTTCAAAACCCAAACTTTCTGTATCACAGACAGGTACCTTGTTTACCGTAGAAAGTTTCTGCAGAAACTGTAGCCAGACAAAAGTCTGGAAGAGTCAACCAGACCTGCTAGGAAAGTTTCCAGCAGGTAACCTGCTATTAAGTTGTGCAGTGCTCTGTGAGCCGAGTGAAAAGAAAGAATCGATACATTAAAACTGTAATTAAATTCAGGCTGAATTCAATTTAATTTTTATTACTTGTGTACATGAAAATTGGAGCAACATCAGAATTCCCAGCCGCTAAACTTGAGTTTAACTGAACGCTAGAAGAACAGGGCTTCACACAGTGGGCAAGTTTGTCATTCAACAAAAAGCGAGTAAGTGGCTGAGAATTCTGAAGTTTGGCCCATAAAATTAAGTGTTTACGGACAAGTATTCACGCAACTACTGTAGGTCCTTCTTGGCCCCAATGGCATTCATGACACTCTTCAAGAACAAACAGTGCATTTATTATTCATTTTCTTCATCTTCATTCATTCGCTGGCACCTCTCCCAAATATCTTCGCTGGAACTGTTGTTCCTCTTCTTCTTCGCGATGAACTCTTTCGTTGTAGCAGGTTGTAGTCCGCGGCTTCTTCCTCGATAGCAAGGGGTTCGCAACTGTCGTCGTACGGCGCAAATTCAGACAATTCCCCCATCACTTCGTCAACTGTAAAACTTTCTAGATCACTTTCAGATGTGCAGGAAGAGGAATCCGACGGAGATGACATCTTAAACGTCTTGTTAAAAGGCTCTAAACTCACAAACTTTTCCCAAATGCGAATCTTTTGGTTGATGTTTCTACGTCACAGTGCATAAATCACGTGGTCAAACGCACGACCGCTGTGCGGAGATCTCGCGGGCTATTGCTTTACGAACTTTGTAATGGCGGACGGTATTTACGCACTTTTCAGTGGGAAATTTCCAGCCCCCGTACGCAAGTATCGTTCCAATTTTTCGCTATTTGTATAATTTTGAACATATACAAAAGATTTATGTTAAAAAAACTCGGAAACAAAAACAAAAATTTTCGTCGTAGTAGCACTTTAACAAACGTAATGAACTCGTGTCTTCCTGCCGACACAGAAACAAAGCCCTCTTGCGCAACAACTGATGTAACGAACCTCGCACTGAATAAATTATGTAAATCAGTCTAGTATATAAGTAATGGTAAAGTTATTCTCATTAAAATCCCCTGATGAGTGGGCAACCACGAAACAGGCTTCTAGGGATACTTATGTAGTTACTTGTTTTCTTCCGTCAACCATACGTATACTCGCTCTACTTTATGTATTGAGCACTGTTTTACGGATTTCAAGTTCAAACCTCTTATATAATAGGTTATATATTTTACTGTATGTAACTCCCATTTCGTTTTTCTTCAAGAATGATTTTATGGTATTCTATCGAGTCAAGGTTATGAAAATTCATTGTATACCCAGCACGTAAAACATACACATCATTAAAATCTATTTCCGTTTGTTGGGCTATAAAGTTTTGCAAGTTTAAATTTTTAACAACAACACCGCTATAATTAGACAAAGTCATTTTGGCTGTATTTCCTGATTTTGTTAACTATAAGAACAACTGTTTATTTTTAAAGTCTGATGTGAATTGTGTTTTATCTTCTTCTCTTTGATCAGAAATTGATATTTCATTTGACTTTATGGTGAATATTGGTGGACATTTTACTTGAAGTTGCCCAGCAGTATTACTCCATGATACTTTGCACGTTTTCTCTCATCATCAATAAATGAAATGAAAATTGTATAATTAGTTTTTTGAGTGATTCTACCCGTTAATATATAACTTTTTGTTGACAGTTTTAATCCAGTTTCCTTATTGTAATCTTTCATATATCGATCGGTTTCTAAAAACAAATTGTTTTATTTTATTCACAACAACACCGGATACTTGACCAATTAAATTGAATAATGATGTTTCTCTTGAATCATAAAAATGTTCAAAAATTTCTCGGTATACGTGATTATTTGTGTAAGAAATACTTTGGTCTCCAGATCTGTGACTAATTTAACGTTGCTACACTGTTATCAATTGCCTCATCCGCTAAAATATTCACATCTTTTTTTGATTCATTTTAAGATCAACATTCATAGTCATGGCTGTGCTTTATACATCGGGTTTATATAGAGTGTGGAAATCATATGTTTTATCTGCATCTACATCGCTTTCAGTTCTAATTATTCCATAAGCGACGACGTAATTTCTGTAAAACGTTGTGCGTAAGTCTGTAAATCTGTCCCATCTTAAGGTATATCGATTAGTAAATGGAGTTTAGTACAAAGGGTTTGAAGCCATCTTCCTAAAATTGATTATGAGCTTGTGATCATACATAAATTCAACACTGCTCTTGAATTAACATATCTATGACTGATTTTGTTTTCACAAAAACATTGCCAATAGTCCATCCCTTCGATGTAGCCTTATCTATTGAAATTTTTGGTTTATGCCAAAGTTGACAATCAACATTCAAGAATTCAATACATAAAGTGTAATCAGTATTTCTTGTCAGAGGGAAGCATTGGATCCCCATTTTATACTTATACGAGCCTTGTGAATTTTTTATCATTGATGTATAAATTACTTTGTGGTTGTCAGAGTGAAAATTGCCCTTATCCGGTGGTAAATCAGCAATCTTTACCCTATTAAAACTATTTCCACCGGGGATCAGATCCGACCACTCCAGAGTATTTTGCATTAAACAGGACAACCGATTTGTTTTATGACTTGGTTTCATTTGTGCGTGTATGTTTTTATTTATCTGTTCGTCTACATATTTTATGGATGTCGCTTGACGCAAACTTTTAGGATCCGGTAGATTATCGATGGTATAATTATTCATGTTGAATTTTTCAACGGCTGTTTTTTGAAAGTATTTAATGTCAGCGAACCCCAAGTTGATAGCATCCTCGGAATTCTGTAAGTTATGACCTAAATTTATAATTTGTTTGTTGTTCAAGTTAAGATTACCATTCATTGCAACAGAACCATCCAAAGGCAAATATCTATCTTTAGCCCATTTAACATTGATTACTTCACTGTCGTGTCCTGGTATATGATTATTATATAATGTTTTATTTTGGCAATTAAAATTTTGATTTTGGTTCCTACTCCCAAAAGGCGCCCATTTATTATAGAATTTCATATTGATCACATCTGCAATAAATGTAGCATCTCAAAAATTAATGATTTTATTACCGCTCATATTTAAAGTTCCAGACATCGCGTCGCCAGATTTAGTAACCTTTTGATAAACAAGAGATTTGTTTGCTCCTAGGTTACCATTGATTGGTGTCTTGATATTATATATAAACTGATTTCCCATATCTAAATGAGTTTGCATTGGAAAAACAGATTCCTTAACTTACAAACACGTCAAGGACATTTTCCTAACACACAAGAGTAATTCTACTTGCATTCATTTCATTGAATGTTTGCTGTTTGCTTTTGATGACATTGTAAGTATTCTGAAGATCAATATTCCTTGTAATTGTTTCAAAGTCGACCGCGTCGAGTTGTTTAATGTAATTGCATCTGTTGGGTTTGTTCCATCAGCAACATTTGTCAGTTTTTCATTTACCATGTCATAATTCCCATCTAATGTGAGATTAAAACCAACTCCAGGCTTACCTCTTTCACGTTGGCCGGAAGTTTGACTTTTGAAGTTTAACAAGAGTAACAATCCATTTGAATAACTCATATACATATACATTTCTGTAGATTATATCTTTTCATTAAAATTTTTGGAAACACGCTTTTTAGGCTTGTCAACATAAAGAAAATCATATGGTTCTTGTGTGGCTCTCTGATAGTGAGATTTGATGATCCCAAGTTCTCTGTATATCATATTCTGCTCATTGCTGGAAGGAAACTCAAAGATACAATGATGTGTGCAGTTTAATCAGATTGTTTTATCAGTGCCATAATAGCTCTGAGATAAATAGATGCAGCTGCAGTTTTTATTTTTTGAATTAGTAAAGTAGGTGGGGATCTCAGCATCATTCTATGTTCTTGTATTAAGGTAATCATAAAAAATGACCGGCTTTTGATTGTCGCATGGCATTTTATCCAGCGGAATTATTTTATCATTGCTGGCTTCAACAATAGGATAACCGGCTTCTTCACTAATAGGTCAGAATAGGTCTATTACATGCTGATACTTGCTCTGTTGCAGATTTTTGGCATACTGGTGTCGGGAATTGTGCGGCAATAGCGTGCGTACATATATCGTATAATATTTTTATCCTTTTGGCTTTATTATATGTCAAGTTGATGGCAACGTTGATTGCTAAATAATTAGCTCATGATCTCCGATAAGTTCAAGGAACAGTCACGAAGTAAACTTTGATAACTGATAAGATATTTGCGTTTCTTAATTGATATCGTGGAAATAATACTAAATGTCAATCACTTTGTAATAATATAGGTTAAGTTTTATGTGTAATGGGGGAGTTGAGGGGAGAATTTCACGCTATCAAAAACCAACTTGTTGTGCCGAAAATATCAAGTGAATTTTCGTGGATTTCTATGAATATGGGGGCAATTCCCGAAACAGGTATATATTGTCATAATACAGCAATCTATAGATCATATCCAGAGGAAGATTAGTTTTGCCTGAACCTGAAGGACCGCATACCAGCATCCTAAAACATCTATCAGACATAAATGGAACTTTTTGTTTATAAAACTGTGAAAGGTTTGAACCCAGGAGTCATTTCAAAAGTAGGTTGAGTTTGATTGTCCGGGTGAACGTAGTCCTGAACGTAGTCCTGTTCTATTGTCACAGTTAAACAGTCGTCTATTGTCAGTCAAATTGTCAGTTCTCCAGCCGTTCTCTCGTAGTTAGTTTTGCTTGATCTAGTCAATAAGTCGTTTGTACGGCGCTGGTAACTGTTGGCTACTAACAAACGTCATTGAATCGTAGCCAACGGTTACCAGCGCCGTACAAATGACTTATTGACGAGATCAAGCAAAACTAATTACGAGAGAACGACTGGAGAACTGACAATTTGACTAACAATAGACGACTGTTTAACTGTGACAATAGACGGATCGAAACGCACCAATTACTGATTACTAGTCTTCATAGCCAATAACATCACGGCTTAACTGACAGACGACCAATAACATCGTGACGTAATTGACCAATCAGATCAATAACCAGAGTATAATACCATCAACTGACGTGATACAACTCACTTTGACTCTAAAGATGACAACCGCACAGGTTGTCGAAACGTCAGTCATTGTCAACAGTCCTATTCAGGACTACGTTCACCCGGACGATCAAACTCAACCTAATTTTTGTTTATAGTTGTTTAACATCATAGTTGAGTATTTAGTCCCAAAACCACCTACCTATGAAGAATCATTACCGTATTTTAAAGGGCAAGAAACAAGTATATGTTGATCCTCAATATTTACCGCCAGACCCTCCAGAATAAGATAAGGATGAAGTTCCTAACTATACTTTAGACGAGGAAGGCAGAACCTAATGAGATATTGAAAGATCTGGAAATCACTGATTATGATAATGTTGAGAAGATTATAAGTCAGCCTGAAATAACACGCAAAAAGATAAAATCATACCTTAATAAGGTAATACATAATGCAAATTTACGCAGAAACCAACTAAAAGGTTATAAGACACGAGTTACAAACCCATATAAGAAGGGTGAGATAGGAGAAGCGCAAAGGGCCCAGGAAAATAAAAGAATAGATGATGCAAGAATTGTTTTGAACCAATATATCAAATATTATGAGACTAAAATAGAGGGGAAAAAAGGTATGCGAAAAAGAGGCGGTAACGTGATGTTTTTCAATAATCCCAAAACTTTGCTAAAGAAGTTAGAATTAATTATTGAGAACCTGTTGATAAAGCTGAACATGCAAAATTGTATAAGCAATATTTTAATCCAATTTAATTATATAACATATGGAACAAGAAATAGTTTTATCCTCCTATTCGGTTAAAAACAACGGTAGCAATAAACCTGGAAACTTTGTAAGCAAATTCACAAGACCAATAGTCTTAGATAATAATCATGAGTATGCTATTGGTTTAAAGAGAATAATGAACATGAGCGTTACTTGGTTCAATGTAAATGCTGGGTATGTTATTCAGCTCATCCGATTTAACAGCGATTCAGGAACTAATTTTACAAATATATCGTTTCCGCCAGGTGTATGGAATTATAGTGATTTTAATTCATACATCAAACAAAAGACGGTTATAAAAGCATCTGGTAAAGACGATGAGTACCCCGTCACTCTTGCATTTGATGAGACGATTTCCAAAGTAATAATAACATTGAAAACCAATTACCAGCTTGATCTCACCAAATCCAATTTTTATGAGCTGATTGGGTTTGATAAAAAAGTTCTCACAGCTTCATGCAATGTGGGCATAAAAGTACCAAATCTTTCTCAAGACACTGATATCCTCAACATTCATTATGATTTAGTCAATGATAGTCTTGTGGATGGTGAAGAAAAGTGACATGATTTACAGCTTTAGTACAATTAAGCGTCCTAAAACCATCATATAGTTTTACTCTTGAACCAAGAAGAATCACATATAATCCAATTAATAAACAAACTATCAGTTCTATCAGAATGTATATCACAGATGGTAAAAGACGTTTCGTGGATTTAAACGGAGCTGATACTTCATTCAGTTTGATTTTGAGACGATTGGAACTAATGACCCGGACTCTCCAAGGAGCTTCAAAAGTATTTGCTTGAAATGTAACACAGCCAGGTTTTTAGACCAAGAAATTAGCTGCTGCATGTGATTTAAATTGCTATTTTATATCCTTTTATTTTTTGGGTCCGCAGTAATTGGCTTTAGCTGTTGCGGTGTCCCTGGCCAAATGTTTAAGTTATTATTAGTGTATTGTTACGTTCTTATTACTAGTGTTTGTATATCTTCAGTGTTTTTTTCTCTGTATATTTCAGGGCAAAGCTAATAAAATAAAAAATAAAAATAAAAAAAATAATAGCTTAATTTATATAACATTATAATATAGACGAAACCATATGAGTTCATGAGATTTTTTCGCTCAAAGATGGGTAGATTTGTGTATAAGCACAAAGGAAGTGGTATAATTGTCGACAATATCCTCAAACCAATGAGGAGAGTTGCATCTTCAGTAGCCAAACCAGTTGTCAAACCATTTGCCAAAAAAACACTACAATCAGGTATTTTTCACATGCCGGTGAGAATTTGGGTAAAAAAGCTGCTGAAAAAGGTGGCGATTTTATTATGAAAAAGCTGGCATGTATTTGTATTTCAATCTTGTATTTCGTGTATTTCAATCTATATGGCGATATGGAGCAATTGTCATCTAAACCCAAGTTTAAGGTTGGCGATAAGGTCAGGATAAGTAAGTACAAAAGAAAGGTGTTTGATAAAGGCTACACACCTGATTGGACTGAAGAGATATTCCTCATCGATAAAATCCAATCCACAAATCCAATTACCTACCGGTTAAAGGATCTCAACAACGAGGTGATACAAGGGAGCTTTTACCAACCTGAATTACTAAAGGCAAAGCAATATGTATTCCGCATTGATAAAGTTATTCGGAGAGATTATAAGAAGAAACAAGCTGTTGTGAAGTTGTTGGGATATAGCGACGACTTTAATTCTTGGATTCCATTTAGTGATTTACAAGATTTATCTAACTAATGGATGATTATATTGTGAAATGTGTTGAAAACTGCACTCAGATATTTGCGATAAAGAAGAGTAACTAATTGATGAGCTATATTATAAAATCCGTGAAGTGGAGGAAAATGTTGCTGCAATGAGGCATAAACGATCTCTGATGAGAATATATGTTGAAAAGTTGAAAGAAACTATGGATGACAACTGATCTTCTTCATGTAATTTGTACTGATGTCATGAATGACAATCAAGAAAGAGTGATTGTAATCTAACATATAGTAAGTGTACTTATGCAGTGTATCCTGTGTTTTTCCCATAATGGCCAAAAACATTCTTTGCTTCTGGCTGTTGAAACCACAACTATTTAAGAAAATATTATATATACTATAGCAATGGCAATGATAGAAAAAACATTCGCTCACGAGGATATGGAAATTGAGCTGACTTCATATATTGATGACAAGCAGAATATCTGGTTCTATCACATGACCAGAAGGCGGAGATCCCATGAGATAGCACAGCGCTTGCGCAAGTCACATTGCACGATTCGCGCTCAACGCGTAAAGTTCGTTCTTCGGATAACACCAGAATTTCTTTGGTTTTCTTACACGTATAGCTGGAGAGGCTAACGTAGTTGTTCTCAATTACACCCAGCTCAGGCGCTAACGTAGTTAGGGGCCAGTAATTAAGCGACCACGGCTCAAAATATGACACAAACCCCGGACGACATTGGGGTGAATATCACTGCCGAACAGGGTCAATTGTCGGAGAAGGCCTCCGCTAATACAGAGCTTGCGAACCTGTTTACGGCTGCTATGGCTCCTTTCGTGGGTCAGATGACAAAACTTAACGAAAACGTCAGTCTGCTGTTGAGCAGTCGCGATCCAGAGTCGGAGGAGGCCGGTGAAACCGCCTCTGCCGAAGCAGTCGAAGACTCTGGTCATGAAGGAGTAGATACGGAAGCAAGTCTATCTGCCATCCTGGACTCTAAGACCACGGACAAAGCAGCGCCTAGGACAGGCGACGCTTTTTTACAAGAGCTCGCTCAAGATCTCTCTGTCAGAGAACAAACCTCCCCGCCAATTCATGAAGGTCTGGCGGGCATTTTTAACGGGCTTTTGTCAGAAAAGATGCCCGATGACAAGATCAAGGCGAAGCTAGACAAATATACACGGCCCGAAAACATCAACGGCTTGAGAACGCCGAAGGTTAACCCCCTAATTTGGAGCCAGCTGTCCGCCACAATGAAAGCACAAGATGCTAGATCTCAGAAAGGGCAAAATGCTCTCATCGGCTCCGTAATAGCCATGACCAAGGCTACCGATTTGGTTCTTGCAAAGTACAGCCAGGATAGAGATCTGATTACCCTCTTGGCAGACGCTATTGCAATGGCCCTTCAATTCAACCACGAGGTTAACCACTCGCGGCGCGTGGCAATGAAGAAGGAATTGCATAAAGATTATGCAGCACTCTGCAACTCGTCCACTGTTGAAGGCTCTTCGGAGTTGTTGTTTGGCGACCTCTCCAAACTTGCTAAGGACATTTCTGAAGCCAACAAGTTAACTAAGAAGGTTCGCCCGCCGCATTCCACGAATTCCCGCGGTGACAAGTACGGGGGACGCTCAAGTTATGGTTCGAGCCAGGGAAACAGAAGATTTCACCCCTACTCAAAAGGGAAGGCCTATAATTTTTTAGGCAACAGCCGCTTCTCCAAACAAAGAAAGAAAAAGGACGGAGAGACGAGTCAGCGGCAATGAACATGCCAGAGGTATGTGATGAAAACATGACTCTCCCTAAAGGCCTCGAGCCTAGTATACTAAGTACACTCAAATTACAAACTAAATTTCAAGCAGGACAGCTTCGAAATTTCTTACTTCAATGGAAAACTGTAAAAACCGATCCCACTATACTTCAATTTGTTTCCGGGGTCAAAATAGAATTTCAAAACAATTCTCTGCCCATGCAACAACATAAGAGACCCAGTGTTTTTAATACTAAACAGCATGCTATTGTTAAAGCGGAAATCGATAAACTGCTCGCTGAAGGTGTTATTATACCCGCAGCACAGGAAACGGGGGAGTTTATCGCTACCATATTCCTTAGACCGAAAAAGGATGGCACGCACCGCACCATTCTCAGTCTTAAAGAGTTTAACGAATTCGTAGCTTATCATCATTTTAAGATGGATACCCTAGAGGCGGCTATCAGTATGATGAAACCAGGCTGCTTTATGGCATCCGTTGATCTCAAGGATGCTTATTACACCGTCCCCATTCACCCCTCTCACCAGAAATATCTCAAGTTTTGTTTCGACGGCACTATCTATCAATACACTTGCCTACCTAATGGCCTCGCCAGTGCGCCTCGTATTTTCACAAAATTACTCAAACCTATCTATGCTACACTTCACAGCATGGGTCACTTAAATTCAGGCTACATTGATGATTCTTATCTCCAAGGGGATACTGTTGCGGACTGTCAACAAAACGTTGGAGACAGTCACGTTATTTATTAGCCTAGGGTTTTTCATAGCCTCCCCGCAGACGTCCTTTGGGGTTCGTTTGTCACGCATTCATTTCTCCCCACGGACGTCTGCTAAACAGAGCCGACTTTTACGTTCACCAATCACAGGCCGTTTACAGATTTTTGTAAAACGTAACCCGAGCCGCTTCTTAGGATTCGCACGATCAGTGAGGCTTTTGATCGAGTGTGCGAGAAATTTGTAATTAATACAGAGTTAAACAAGTATCAGAGAGAAGCTATCCTGCAAATGTTTATAGCGAAGACCGATGAGTTCATAAATTTGCCGACGGGATTTGGCAAATCCCTTATCTCTCAAGCTTTGCTGCTTGTTTGCGACATATTGCGTGGAACTACTGGACATTACTGTTGATGTTGTTTCTCCCCTGGTAAATCTTGAAAGATCAATCTACAAAGCTGGAAAATATTGGTGTTCCTGCTGTAACGCTCAGTGATATTAGCAAAGAGAATATGAGGGTTGCCGATAGAGGGACTTTCTCTGTTGTTTACGGAAGCTCAGAAGCTTGGTTGAAGATCGATCGGTGGAGGAAATGTTAGCGAGTGACTTGTACAGTTAGTATGTGGTCCTTGGTCGGCGACTTTCCCGAGCATGATTAAATATTTCGTCGAGAAATAAAATACAATGAACAATGAAAGGTTCAATGATTTATTGATTATAAGCATTCTTTCTTTCTTTGAAGGAGCGAGATTAAAGTTTGTTGACAGGTAGGTTAATTTGTAGTTCTAGCTTGAAGTTTGGACTCGGCAGCACCGTGGTCATGTTTACTTAGCTTGTGAATAAATAAAACGCAATGGGAGGACGTGCCTTTTTGCAGAACAAGTTTTCAGATAAACGTTTTTCTGCCGTTGGAAGCACATTGCTGTAGACTTCGAATTTTTTGTTTTACCGACTCTTGAAAAAATATAACCAAATTTTGCGTACTGGTCCCATGACCTTGGAGGAATTACATTTCGCAAAAAAGGAAACGGCCTTTGTTTTCGAAGAATGCTTTGAATATCTTCCCTATACACGTTTACAAGTTCTCTTTTCTTAATACTTCGAATATATACAGAGTTAATAGTAATTATTGTTTTCGACCGCGCTGAAAACCGCTCCGCGCTCGTGTGGGAGACTGTTGTCTGAAGTCTTCAAAGAAAAGCAGATTATTTTACAGTCACAACTTCCGAAAAAAATATACAGCTGACTGCAGCTTTATTGCATCGTTTCTGTGATTTCTTCAAAACGTTTGAGTCGTCTCATGTAGAAGATAGCCGTGCAAATAAATAATTCACTTGAGAATACCAGAGACATCACTTATATCACGGCGCGTGATTGGCTGATCGTGACACAATAACTAACCGCTTATTGGCTTATTCAAACAATCCAGAACGTAAAAGTCGGCTCTGTTTAGCAGACGTCCGTGGGGAGAAATGAATGCGTGACAAACGAACCCCAAAGGACGTCTGCGGGGAGGCTAGGTTTTTCATCCATCCAGAAAAGTCGGTTTTCATTCCTACCCAGCGGTTGACATTCTTAGGGTTTGTTCTGGATTCGATTAGGATGACAGTTACGCCTACCGAAGCAAAAATCCAGAAAATCGGCTTGTACTAAAACATGGAACGCCGGAATGCCGGAACGCCGGAACGCCGGAATACTAAAACCCGGAACACAAAATTACTAAAACCCGGAACGCATGAAAAATAAATAAATCAAAAAATAATCAATATAAATAAAAAACTCGAAACTCGGATGTTAGGATCCCAAAAAAATGTTCTACCCGATTACCAACACAATGCATTTGATTTTTGCGTTTGACCGCTGACTGTTCTCGCCGGCTTATTTAGAAATCCTAAGACCTGAAATTGGAGAATTTTCGATCCATTTATTATACAATACGCGATGCGGTCGCTAAAATTAAAATATGGTCTGTTTGTAACACTTCGTGTCAAAGATCAACTGCACGCCACCTAATCATGACCTAATGACAAGTAGTGTATTCGCCGAATATTATCCACGTACAGTACCAGAGAGTACTTAACTTTGCGGTCGAACTGACCAACATTCACTGATATCATCAAATAAAGCATACAGTAGTAGTAGTGGTGAAAAGGATAAAGCTCTAATACAGTAGTATTCGAAGAATCGATGAAACACTGAATCGAAACATTCCAAAACTCAAGTGCCTACCTCTTTTTTCCAGGCTTTTAGGACTGCTGCTAAACACAAAACAATAATTACTTAGCTGATATTTAATACTTTGTATATCTTAAACGTAATAAACGAAAAGAAACGAGTCTTAGATAAAGAACGTAACAACACTTACCTCGCAGAAGCATCCATTTTCCCAACACTGTACCACTACATGTTACTCACATTATCATAATCACATTTTGGCGGGAAACATCACCAAAATCTTTGCCACCCGGAAATAGAAGATCGACACAAAATATTAGATGGTTTCTTAAAACACATTATAATCATCAATTAAAAATAAATATCA